CATCCCTGTTTTAGCGTAACTTAGAGTCTATTTGGGAGTAATTTTGAGAATTGATTTTTTGACCGTTAGGAGAAAAGTGAGGTTCGTCTGTGAGAAAAGAAGTCAAATATGACGGTTGGAATAATGAAATAATGGTCAAAAAATCAATTTTTTGGGCGAAAAAATCGCTCCCAAACAGGCCCTCAGGCTGGCAACCAATGCTCTAAAAGATATAATACTTGGCGATGCATGAATGCCAAGTTATGAGTTAGACAAGGCATAAGTGTAAAAAAACGTAAAAAGACATTTTCTTATTTTAATATTATTTTAATTTTTAATCAATCAAAAAATTACTTAATAATTAAAAATAATACGTACCAAACATCTAAAACAGATTTATAGGAACTTTATCCAATTTTTTAAAGTTTCCACCAACAAGATAAATTTCAAATGTAAATACTAAATAGTAAATAAATAGGAATTTTTGGGAGTTTTCTTTTGTTCAAGGCTTTAAACGGTGTTTTGAATTTAGAGCAGACGAAATGAAGAAATCAGCCTTTAATTTTTAAATTTTTTATAGCTCTTTTAATTTAAAAGAGCTATAAAAAATTTAAAAAGATAATAATGCGTGCCTAGGCTCGATTAATGCTTCCTTACTTGCCTTGTGGGACTCTTTCTACTTTTTATATGGCTGTCACGCATAATCACGCCTAGGCATACATTATGGTCAACGTCCGTTGACCGCTAAATAAGGTGCCAAGTCACTTGGCTTAACGTTTCCGTCACGCATCGTGTCTAGGCGCACCTTTTAGACAATGTAGGCAACTGTGGATGAGTGGAGGTTATTTTTGTACATTTGAAACATTTCATTAATCGGTTATTATTTGTGACACACGTCACAAATTGCACAGTCTAACGTCAACTTTCATCGTTACTTCGAAATTTTAAATCATTACATGTGAGAATTATTTGTTGTCAAGTTCAAAATGCAAATCGTTAAGGGGAACACACTTTTTTGGACGTTGAACTCCATCATTTTTCTATTAGAATTGTGAAAATAGAACCATTAATTATATGGGCAAAAAATGAACACGTTTTAATCGAAAATAATGAATTTTTGTGTTATGATATGATCTAATCCTTTATACTTCAAACAACAATAACAACAACAATAATAACAATAATAATAATAATAATTGTAAAATGTGTTGTAAATGGTATGTTTATTAGTGAATGACAATTGTATCCCGATAAATTTTGTTATTCTCAATTATAAAATCTATAATTTACATCAACTAAATTGCACAATGATTCCTAATAATCATACGATCTTGCCGAACATAGATACAACCTCCACTAAAAAGAATGGGTCATACCGATCTTACTCCTTGTGCTTCTTGTAGGCATTTTCTCTGTGTATCTATAGTTTATATAATGTTGACATTGAACTTCCAATCGTATATCTTACAGAGTAGTGATTAGCGATTCATGGTCCAATTCAACTTTAACGATTAAACTATTTGTACACATGAAGTGTACACCTTGATTAACACTTCCTATGCGTGAAAATTTTAATAGTTGATTGGAAAATGTGTAGTCAAGATCAATCTATTCAAATTTGCCAACTCACATGGGTGTAAACCAATGTATCAACCTTTATGTACATACACAACCTTTCATAAAAATCTTAATTTTAATGAATGTTGTGTAAACAAAATGGATATGTTATATATGTTAAATTCGAATAGATTATGAATATATCTAAAACAATATCTATGTAAAATAAATAAATAAATAAAATTGTATACTCTACTATAATTTTTTTTTAATTTTCAATTAGTGTGTCAAATATGGTAAAAAATATCAAAATATTGTTGAAAAATAATTAGTTGCATTAACTTGAGAAACTTGCGGAATAGTAAAATGCAGAAATAAAACTTATCTACTGATTGAGTCTCTTGATAGCACAATGTTCTAAAGTGAAATTGTCCACCGATAACTGTTGCGACCTCTGTGGATAATCACTCACAGGATATAACAATCAAATAAATCACCGTGTAGCAATCACGAATGATTTTAAAACTCTCAAGTGTATTCCAGAAAAAATATGTAAAATTCGAGTATAAAAATTACAGAATATGGAAATTATAATTTTATTTTTTTGATGTATTTTTTTTCCCAAAATCATGGGATTGTTTATATTGGTAGAATAGATATAGCTCCCCCCGCCATGATCTAGAAAGATTTATAGTTTTTAATGGAAACATGGATAATGGGCTCTTGATAGTGGTTGCTGAAAAATGGTTATATTATAATGGCTAGTTTGACCCATTAAATAATTTAAAAAATGATTAAATAAATAAATAAAAACTATTGTGAAGGATGTGAAACGAACCCCTAGCTTCCCACACAAGTTTCACGCTTTCTACCACTTGGGCACTTCATCTAAATTAATTATTTCTTTCACATGTTATATTTATTGTATAAATATATAACAATATTCTATATGAAAGAAATAAAATAAATATAAATATTACTTTGAAATACGGTAGAAATCACGTTGGTTTAGGTTTCTATCGACTTGAACCTTGACTTTGTATATTTTATCAAGCTTGCTAAATGTAAAGTGAACTATGTCTGAAACTCTATAATTATGGTTGCAATCTAAGACAATAGAACACCCACACGACTTCTAAACCAATCATTGAGTTCTTGCAATTATATTCATTTCGACAGTAAACTTTTCCAATTTCTTTGAATGCTCTAGAGAATTACCCTCAATTCTCATAGAAAGAGGCCCCACTTTCACACTTAAATAGGTTCTTCTATTAAGGGTGCACTGTATCTAAAAATCTCACTGAATATCAGCCATAGTAAGCATTTAGATCATTAGCTTATCCTCTAAATAAAATAGTTGGTACTACGCACCATAGTGAGGGGTTTGGAATAAATCCAATGTAGCACCCCAAAAGACCACTTCAATAACTAAGTTGTCTCATTGAACTTTGTACATAGGATCTCCAATTGTAAGGTTGAGTTTTCGTTATAAGTGATCTAGTTTGTAATAGGGTTAAGCCACGTCCCTCTCGATGTTTTTTGAACAAATTCTCTAGCTAATCCTTTGATTAATGGGTTAGCAATAATATCACTCGATTTCACGTATTCAATAGTTATAACCCCATCTTTAAGCAGTTGACACACATTACTGTGCCTTCTATGAATATGTCTGACTTTTTCATTGTACGATGAATTTTGAGCTCTTGAAATGGCTCTTGATTGTCACAATGGACAGAAATTGTTGAAAATGGTTTAGACCACAAAGAAATGTTCATAAGAAAATTCCTTAATCATTTAGCCTCATCGCCTAACTTATCTAAAACAATGAATTCAGATTCCATAATAGAACTTGCAATGTAGGTTTTTAATGAATTTTCAGGATACATCACCACCTACTAATGTAAAAACATATCCACTAGTTGATTTACTTTTATTGGTATCGAAAATTCAATTAACATCACAATATCCTTCAAGTACAGCAAGGAACTTGGTATAATATATTCCATAGTCTAAAGTGTATCTCTAATACCTCAAAACTCGAATGAGAGCATCCCAATGTTCACTGTTAGGTTTACTAGTATAATTGCCAAGTTTACAGATTGCATATACTATGTCAAGTCTTGTACAATTCATGAGATACATGAAACTATCGATCAAAGGCTGTTTTATTATTGCGTCGGATGTGACCCAAACCCCCTACCTCCCACAGAAATTTGATACTTTCTGTCACTTGGACACTTCATCTAAATTGGCTGTTTCCTCCACATAATCATATTTATTGTATAAATATCTAACAAATATGACAAGTGATTCAATTTCTTAGCTTACGATAAATGATCTCTCTTTCCATTTGCACGGATTTTATTTTATTTTTTAATTTTAATACTAAATTTACCTTTATGAAGCATTGTCTTCTGCCAAGTGTGAAAAATGCAATATTCTATGTTCGACAAAAATTAAAATTAAAATATTAATCAAAATCAACAATTAATTTTAATTGCACATTTTCTAGGACTTGCAACATTTCAACTTCACATTTCATTAAATTTATCAAAATATAATAAAAATTTGATTTTAACCCCCCCAAACACAGCATAGTCAAAAAACATACAAAACAATCCGGCTTATTCAAATTATTTGTAATTAACGGCTAAACCTAAGGTAGGGGACTTGGTCATTACACAATGCCCATGATTTTCATTTTTTTTTCATAAAAAAAACTCAAAATAATTAATAAATTAATTAAAATCTATTTATTTATTTAAAAAAAATTGCTCAAATTTCTGCTTTGAGTCACATTTTTCTCTTGATAGTTTCCGTGTTTTGAGAAAGGGGCAAAGGTTTTTTAGTGCATTGATTATGAGAAATTCAAAATATCAAACCCTAATTGAATCTACGGGTGGAACAATTCAATTCCAGGTGGAGTTAAGGTTGAAATTTCCAATTTTTCTTTATTGTTTATTCAAGGATTTTAAGTCAATTTTGTGTGTGTAGCATTTGGAATCTTCAAAATTAGGGTTTTCATTTAAGAAATGGCTAAAATTTTGTTGTTATTTGTATTAAATTAAGGAAAGCAGAGTTGGTAGAAAAGGCAAAATAAAAAATAATTTACCCAATTGCTCGCGGATTTTTCTTTATTCTTTTTATGATCTCATTTTTGTTTTTATTTTCCATAATCCATTTTGCGATTCCCACCCCATTAATTGTTCTTTTTAGATCTCCATTTTTGTTTCTTTTCAGAACATTTCAGACAGTGGCCATTGATTGTTTGGCTTTTGCAAATCTCCAATTTTGTTGAATTACTGTAAAAGTTCGAAATTTTTGGTGCTATTTGATTTTGATTTTGAATTTTATTATTATTTTACAGAGAATGTGGCAATGGGCTGTATATATTTGAGTGTGTGAATAATGAATTTGATATTCAATTCTGTTTACTGGAATCAAAATCAAAGACGTGTTGAGCTGTTACCACAATTTCTCTCTCTACATTTTTTGAATATTATAATCGATTCTCTCTCTACATTATTCTTTCTTTCTCACTCTATATATTGCTAGCTGTATAGACATTTTGTACTACACGCTCATAACCTCCCCATTTTCTGTTTTTTCTTTTCAGAATTTTAGAATAATAATTTATCATTTCTACTGCTATTAAAATTTGAATTTATATTCCCTTATAATAATCTCAACATGAATGCCTCCATGAATTAGCTTCTTTCTTCCACCCCCACGCGTCCCTTCCTCATCTCTCTAAAATGAAGTCTTTGTAGCATTCACTGTCACTCCACCGTTTCCTGGATTTGCCCCTCGTATTCTGTTTTTAGCAGTTCAAGTTCAAAAACCCATAAAAAGAGCTTTGTCCGAGCATTTCTCCTCCTGGGTTTTTACACTCAAAAGCCCCTAAATCTTTAGTCTTTTGGCCCCTGTTTAGCATCTGGGTTTTCACATTCTTTCATAAAATTTGATCTTTGGTCTTTGAAATTTAACATTTGAAGCTTCATCTGGCTCTTGTATAAAATTCATCCAACTCTTGAAGAATGGCACCATCTTTGTACTGGTGGGCGAAGGAAACTCACGGGGGGACCCCTGTGGTTGTGAAAATGGAGAACCCAAGTAACTGGTCCATAGTGGAGCTTGAGTCCCCTTCAGAGGAAGACTTAATGTACACAAACGACAGCGTACCCAAAGGAGGCCGGAACAAGAACGCCAAGCAGCTAACGTGGGTTCTCCTCCTGAAAGCCCATAAGGCAGCCGGTTGCCTCACTTCCATTGCTTCCACATTCTTCTCCCTCACCTCCATCGTCCGCCGCCGCGTAGCCTCTGGCCGCACGGACTCTACCGACACCACTGACACCGAAAACCCGGCGGTGAAGTCCCGGTTTTACTCCTGCATTAAAGTCTTCCTCTGGCTATCTTTACTCCTGCTTGGTTTTGAAATGGCTGCATATTTCAAAGGGTGGCACTTTGGTGCACCTGATCTTCAGTTACAGTACCTCTACAGTTTGACTAGTCCTTTGGTTGTGAAGAGTGTGTTCGATTCCCTGTATTCTAGCTGGGTTTTGATCAGGATGGAATATCTTGCTCCACCTCTCCAGTTGTTGGCTAATGTGTGTATAGTTCTCTTCCTTATCCAGAGCTTGGATAGGCTAATTCTTTGTTTGGGTTGCTTCTGGATCAAGTTCAAGAAAATCAGACCAGTTTGCAAACAAGAACTTGTAGATCTGGAGTCTGGAGATGCTGATGGCTATTTTCCTATGGTCTTAGTTCAGATTCCCATGTGCAATGAAAAAGAGGTAATTTGTTTTCTTCTATATCTTGACATCCCAATTTAGAGCATGTTTGGGACTTATATCCAATTTTGATAAAAAAGATAAAAGAAAAAAGGTACTTTATTTGAAGCTTGCTTATTAATTACAAGTTGCCTCTTTAAGGTCCGGCAAACATGCTCTTAATGGTATAATTTTTGTATTATTGGTTTTGTTACTAGTGGCTTGACTTGGATTGTTCTGTTGTGAACTTTGATAGGTTTATCAACAATCTATTGCGGCAGTGTGTAATTTGGACTGGCCTAAAGGGAATTTGTTGATTCAAATTTTGGATGATTCAGATGACCCGACAACGCAGTCATTGATCAACGAGGAGGTGAATAAATGGCAACAGGAAGGTGCCAACATTGTGTACCGACACAGAGTGATTAGGGAGGGGTATAAAGCTGGCAATCTTAAGTCTGCAATGAACTGCAGCTATGTTAAGGATTACGAATTTGTTGCGATATTTGACGCCGATTTTCAGCCCACTCCAGATTTTCTAAAAAAGACTGTTCCTCACTTTAAGGTGTTCTTCAGCTCTGTAAATATGCTTGCATAAATGTAGGGTTTGAGATGGAAATACAATTATTGATTTTTGTTTTAATTGTTTATCCTCCGAATTTCCTATTCAAAGCATACATTCACATGCAGAAAGTTACACTTCATGGATTTCCTGTTTACTTTTTAATATGGAACTGCATTGTCATTGAAGTTTTATTGGCGCTGTATTTATTACATAGTAGCCGTATGCATGAGTTCCTGAACCATCTCATAATCTTTTTAATGGTATGTTTGGTAACATTGGATGGTATTTTATGGGACAATAAATAAGATTTTAATTTCATTTCCCTTAATAAATGTTTGTTCTCACTGTCCGTGCTATCTAGCATGCCAAACATGCCATAATTTTGAAGTATAAATAGGTTTCCGAAAATAAATGTTTGTTCTCACATTGGATTGTAGGATAATGAGGAAATAGGATTGGTTCAAGCAAGGTGGTCATTTGTGAACAAGGATGAAAACCTACTAACGAGGTTGCAGCTCATTAATTTAGCTTTTCATTTTGAGGTGGAGCAGCAGGTGAATGGAATTTTTCTTAATTTCTTTGGGTTTAATGGGACTGCTGGTGTATGGAGGATAAAAGCATTAGAGGATTCTGGTGGATGGTTGGAAAGGACCACGGTCGAGGACATGGACATTGCTGTTCGTGCTCATCTTAGAGGATGGAAGTTCATCTTCCTCAATGACGTGGAGGTAGTATACTGCAACAATCTGTTTCTGGGGCATTATATTTAATTACTTTTAGCAACCAAATTAATTTGTTTTGATAATTTTCAGTGTCAATGTGAACTGCCGGAATCTTATGAAGCCTACAGGAAGCAACAACACAGATGGCATTCTGGGCCTATGCAGTTGTTCCGTCTCTGTATGCCAGACATCATTAGATCAAAGGTATGTGGAGACATGTTTGATACGGAGGATCGTATAGCACTAAACAATATCAAAAAGGAAAAGAAGTTAATTTTTGTTTTTTATACAATGTCAAATCATGTTTAAACTTGTTTTGGAAGTGTTTATAAACAGTTTAAATGATAAGAATAGAAATGAGTGGTGAAAAAGTTGATAGTACTTGTGAGTCTTATGTGTGGATAAAAAAGTGGTTTGACTAATTATAAAATGTTTATAAACATTAGATGTCGAACAAGCACAAATTGTGTGTGATATTGTTTGGAACTGAAGTGGACTGTATCTTTTGATGCAGATCAGTATTTGGAAGAAAGGCAACATGATTTTTCTCTTCTTCCTTCTAAGGAAACTGATACTCCCGTTTTATTCATTCACTTTGTTCTGCATCATTCTTCCTATGACAATGTTCATTCCGGAGGCTACTCTCCCGACTTGGGTTGTCAGTTATGTACCTGCAACAATGTCGTTTTTGAATATACTCCCAGCACCCAAGTCTTTTCCCTTCATTGTGCCTTACCTTCTTTTTGAGAATACCATGTCGGTAACGAAGTTCAATGCTATGATATCTGGCCTTTTCCAACTTGGAAGTGCATACGAGTGGGTTGTCACTAAAAAGTCTGGTCGGTCCTCAGAGGGTGATCTTAATTCCTTGGTTGAGAAGCAACCAACAAAGCACCAAAGAGGTAGCTCAGAGCCTAACCTAGAGGAAATGCGAGAGGAAATTAAACAGCAGGAGCAGAGGGCTTCTCGAAAGAAGAAGCACAACAGAATATATACCAAGGAGTTGACACTAGCTTTCCTTCTTTTGACAGCTTCAGCAAGAAGTCTCTTGTCTGCACAGGGGATCCATTTTTACTTCTTGCTCTTTCAGGGCATATCATTCCTGCTCGTGGGGCTCGACCTAATTGGCGAGCAGGTGGAGTAACTCAATGTAGCTAGGTTTAATACTAAACATGTAAATCTGTAGTCAATCATTTCCTGAGATGCTGGATACTGAAGTTAATACTTCTAGGAATGAGCAAGCTGGACATAGGAGCTGTGTGGAAATTCTGCTTTGTAGAGGCGAAAGTATTTTGTCCTTGCTTTCATACGATAACTGCACCCGAAAACCAAATCACCCGATAAGGAGGCAATTCATTAAAAATTACAGCACTCTCACTTGGCATTGAGGAAGCAGAGGAAACTGGCACAAAGTGGTGGTATTCATTACTATATCAGGTTTTCGTTTTTGGTTTTGTTATTGCTGTCTGTGTAGATTCTTTTGTTTGTTGGTATATTATTTTTGTAAGAAGAATTTGTCGTTCATAAATTGGTGACAGCTAAAATACTTGGAGCAGGAATACTTTGCATCTTCTCTGCACAATAATGTTTCATCTATTGATTTCATAATTCTACAGTTTGAATTGACATTTGCTAACTTCGGTTGATAGCACTAACTGGCAGTCCTTTAATATAATATATGTTTGTCCATTTTTGAAACCCCCCCCAAAAAAAAAAAACCAATAAAAATAAATAAATATTAAACTTGTTGGTAGAAAGCTTGCAGGTTCTATCTACTGGCCCTCTTATCATTTGGTAGCTAAGAACTTGAATGTAATGTTGATTGAGAAAATCGTCGTTTAAGCAAAAGTGGAAGTCATGTTAAATGGACATATTTACTTAAATTACGCTTCAAATCTCCTTCAAAGTGATTAAAGAAAGCAAGCGGGTAAGGCATGGAGTCGATACAATCAACCTGTAAACAATAGCAAAAAGGCATATTAAAAAGTAGAGGCAGAAGGCCAAATGCCTAGTTGTGCACACTCTTATTGAGTTGTTTTTCGTTCAACTTTTTGTCAGCTCACAATAAAAAATAAAAATAAAAATTCAATCCAATAATTACTAATTTTTTATGATTTTATTTGCACTAATTAATTAGATGTAGTTTTGAAAGGAGCCCAAATGTACTAATCTAAATTATAATAACAAAAAAACAATTTTAATCCTCTTTGAGATATGGAAGTGAAGAACCATTTGCAATTTTGGACTATTAAATTAATCTAATTTTCATTTAATAATGTAAAACGAAATTTTTTCATAAAACTAGATCTTTCTAGTTATGATGGCTGGCATATAACTTGTTTTTCTACTACAAGTAGTCACAAAAATATAAATTGTCACGATTCTACACACGTATGTATACTACTAGATATACTAATTTACATTTTTATTTTTTAATTAAAAGAAATAAATTGTGTCACAAATTTCGTTCTATTTCTTATGCACTCTTTGAGAAAAGAAAATAATCAGTGCACTTTGTGTATATATTTATAAACAACTGAGTCGCTTTTTATCTATATATTTCGAGAAATCAACAAGTATTGTTCACTCACACATCCCTCAATTTTATTTATTTATAATTTAAATCATTTATAAGCACTTTTTAAAGGAAAATTCTATTTGTACATAATTGTTGCACATAATGGTGTTCATAATATGATGTGGCAATCATCTAGTTGTTGATGTACAAGTGTGAGATTTGAGTTAAAGGTTGGATCCAGTGCCACGTGTAATTATGGACACCATTATGTAGACAATTATGTACATGTATCACTTCCCCTTTTTAAACACATTTGGTTGGCTTGTTGTGTAGGATAATATGATTTTGATTCGATATCGTTTAGTAATAATAATTTTCAAGAGTTATGAATGGTAATGAAGCAATAGGTTGCGTATCATACATGATTGCAGAGGTGTCAATCCCTTGTTTGAGCCTTATTTTTGGGTCAAAATGTATTTTGAAATAGTATTTTGTTGGAGAAGCGTGGTTAAAAAATAATGAAAATTTTGAATCTGTGTGTAAAATTATTTTATGGGAGACTGTGTAATTGAAAATGAGTTTTGAAAAAATATATATTTTTTTTAAAAATGAGGGCCAAACATAGGCAGAAAAGGTTGGTTAAATCTAGGCATAATTCATGCCTTGGATTATTTGATAATTCAAATTTTTTTGATTAAGGCATTAATTTGCCCTTGATTAGACAAATTTGTCTTAATTTCATCCGTGATTTCGTTCCATCAATCGGTTCAAAGAATTGGACTATAATTCTTCATGATTCAGGTAATATCGATAATTGTTATCATATATATACATCTTGATTAGAAAATATAATTAATATGATTCAGTACGAGTATACGAATTTTTATCCACTTGCTTCATCCGTATATGAATTTTTATATTTGAATGATCAACTTCAAATTAAGTGTCGTAATTTGCTATATATAAGAATATTATTTTGTAATTATCTATTTTTTTTTCTGCTTTAGAATGAGTCTATTGACAAATAATCTGTTGAACTATGTAACCGTTAATGTAAATAAATTTAGGTCCCGTTTGGGAGCGATTTTGAAAATTGATTTTTTGACAGTTAGGAGAAAAGTGGGAGCCACCTGTGAGAGAAGAAGTCAAACTTTACGGCTGAAATGGTAAAATAACAGTTAAAAAATCAATTTTTTCGGGTGAAAAATCACTCCCAAACAGCCCCTTAGCCTAAAATACTTCGATGATAGATAGAGTTTGGAAAAAAACCAACGTTATACATCGACTCTACACATCTTGTATTTAAACCCATTTAACTTGCTGCTTTGTTAGAGCAAAAACCTTAATTATTTTGATATTAGCTATGTCAATTGAATGTGTGTGAATATTGCTCTGTTGAGCCGAGGTTTTTGTTGACGGAAATACAATTTATGTAATGAGTTTGATAACTGATAAATAAATATTGTGACCATATGTGTGTCGATTTTCTGTAGCTATGGAGGTGTGAACGTGTTATTAATCAAGGGAACACACACACACACACACTTGCTGCTTTGTTAGAGCAAAAACCTTAATTATTTTGATATTAGCTATGTCAATTGAATGTGTGTGAATATTGCTCTGTTGAGCCGAGGTTTTTGTTGACGGAAATACAATTTATGTAATGAGTTTGATAACTGATAAATAAATATTGTGACCATATGTGTGTCGATTTTCTGTAGCTATGGAGGTGTGAACGTGTTATTAATCAAGGGAACACACACACACACATGTGTGTGTGTGTATATATATATATTACTCGTGCCAATTGATTGCAAATATGTCAGATCTCATTGGCTCGATAACGGCTGAATTAAGGATGAAAAATAATTGTTCATGCCTCAAAATAGAGTATTTGGTTGATGTAGGTGTCCCCAATAAGGACAACGAATGACAACTCCATGATAATGTGTGATTAGTCAAAGAGCGCATAAGCTGGTTCGAACATCCTCGATCATAAAAAAAAATAAAAATAAAAATAAAAAATGGGATGCCTCCTTTACATCTAGAAGTAACAATCTGAGAATTAGCTGATGTATATGGAGATTACTTATCCCAAGGAAGTGACTAAAGCACGAAATACTGAAAATTTGCTTTTGCTGTGCGTTCAACTTAAGATCGAGATACAGTATCACATCATTTCTGTAGAATAAATTGATAATACCACTGAATTCGGTATTGGAGTTGACGTAAAAGTCCAATTCCTATTGAATTAAAATAAAAAAAGGTTTAGACAACTATAAAATGTAGGCGCGTACAGTTTAATTGCAATATGTGTGAACATAACAATGAAACATCACACGATATGCATATACTATAGATGCCTTGTTGAAAATAAATCATATATAAGTGTTATGTTCTAAATCCAATCAACTTTGAGCATAAACACTTTTAATATATAATTGATGCAAATTTATGGTAGATTCATTATTTAATTAATACTCAATTAAATTAAATAATAGAGTCCGTAAATTCAAGTTTTGGTAATTTGTTAATCACAACGAATTGTGAATGTGAGATACAAATTGCATTTGACTGAATCTTAAATTATTCGTGTTCGTAAGCAAAAACGAGATACAAATATCGTTTATTACGAATAGACTATTACGTGTGACATTTCTTACTTGTAAAGTAAGTTGCTGATATCACAATTTAAAGTGTGATGACACTTAAATAAATATGTGTATATTTTGTTATAGAACAAAATATTGGAGACCTACTGGGATATTTCACATAGATAACTATTTGAGTGTTGGTGTTTAATCTCTATGTTTGATAGTGAAATTGGTCATTTAACTTGAGATCATTATAGTGTCTTATATGATGACAGTCATACTTTGGTGATGTTAAATATTGCTTTGCCAAGGACAACTAATACGATATCGTTCGTGTATGTCAAAAATCATATGAAAGCTGTGAATGATTAATAGATTATTCGTTACTCTTAGTAGTAAGATACTATGATCCACATTTCATTCATTTAAGTTGATAATGAAATCCTAACCCAATATGTACTCATAAATCGAAAAGAAGTTTTCGACTTATTGATTTAATAGTGAAATGAAAGATATGATCAATAATTGAGATTGACACATATTCATATCTCGTAATTGATCGAATCATATTGACAAAGGGATTATAGTTTCACGGTAAATCACGTGACATTTTTGTCACATGTATTGCTCTGACATATTGTTAGATGTCAATATAGGATGACGAATGTAAATTTGTAATAAATTAAAAAAAAAATATTTTAATTTATCAATTTTGATTGAATCAAAATAATAATTCATGTCGCTAGGTATCGTGATTGAGAACCTAATGTGTCACACACAAAATGAGAACTAGAACAATAAGATTTACCAATTAATTAATTGACAAGTGTTGAATAATTAATTAATTGAGTTAATTGTTAATAGGCCTGAATTGATTAATTGTATTAATTAATTCATCCACCAAGTTTAATTATGGAAAATTTCATATATATAAGAGATTAAGTGGGACTAATTTCAAAAATAAGAAACAAGATTTAAAACTTCAAAAATCAGATATTAATTAAATTTCATTTATGAAATCATTAATTGAAAATATATTTTATTAATTAAATATATTAAAGTCACAATTTTATACTATTTGGTCACAAATTATTTCTTGTTCACGAACCAAAAATTTTATAGAACACTTATTTCATCGGTCAAAAATTAAAAAATTTATGGGTTACAATTTATTTGTTGGTCACAAATCACAAATTTTGCAAGTCACGGATCAAACTTTTAGATCATATATTATTTATTGGTCACAAGTTATAAGTCAAATATTATTTAATGGTTGCAATCAATTAAATAATTGGTCACAATCATCTCCATTCCAACCACAACCACAACACCTCTGTCATGCCGACCACTACCAATATCGCGAAAATCACCAATACCTCACCATCGCAGTTGACATCACAACCATCACCACCTAAACACCACAAAAAAATATCTAAAATAATCGGTCACAGCCACGACGATCGCCACCACTGCCATCGGCATTTGCAAACCACCAC